TAATATAGAGACCAGATGTCTTAGTGAAAGATAGCTGAGAAAGCTAGAGAAAATGAGACAAGATGGCAAAACACCATTGTATAGGAATTGTCCAATGAGCAAACTGGAAGCCGACATTATACTGTTAGAGTTCAAATCGACAAACGGATTGAGCGATAAAGGCTTCGATTAGTTGTTAGGTATAATAAGGAAAATGATCCCAGAAAAAAATGAGTTGCCAGAAAAGACATACTTGGCCAAGCAAATGATCTGCCCCATCGGCCTTGAGGTTGAAAAAATCCACGCGTGTTCCAATGATTGCATATTGTACCGTGGAGAAAAATACAAAGACTTGAACAAGTGCTCCAAGTGTGAAGCTCCACGGTACAAGGAAGGGCCATCAGATGAGGGTACCAAGACCAGAGGAGGTCCCATAAAGGTCGTTTGGTATTTCGCTATAGCTCCCCGGGTGCATAGGCTATTTGCATGTGCAAAGTTAGCCAAGCTGTTGCGCTGGCATGGCGAAGAGCGTAAGAAAGATACAATTATGAGGCACCCCACCGATGGGCATGACTGGAGGATTGTCAATACTATGTTATATAAGGACATCAGTGGAGAGGTAAGACACCTTTGGTTTGCTTTGAGCACAGATGTGATAAATCCTTTCGACCAGGTTAGAAACAATCATAGCACTTGGCCAGTGATGCTCTGTATATACAACCTTCCACCTTGGGTCTGTATGAAGCAGTCGTACATCCAGATGCCACTACTGATCCAAGGGCCAAAACAACCTAGGAATGATATCGATGTGTTTCTGGAACTAGTGATCGATGAACTAGTGGAGATGTTTGAAAAGGGTGTGCCGGATGTTTGGGACGAGTACAAAAAGGAACATGTCACGATCAAGGGAGTACTAATCGCTACAATCACCGACCTGCCAGGTCGAGGTTCGTTGTTCGAAGAGAAGACAAAAGGCTATACTGGATGTGTCGAGTGCTTGGAAGACACCAATGCGATAAATCTGCCAAATAACTCAAAGATAGTTTATATGGAACACCATAGGTTCCTACGTAAGGATCACCCTTACTGCAGAAACAGAAAAGATTTCAACGGTACTATTGAGAAACGCTTAGCTCTAAAATATCGAGACAGGCCTGCGATACTTCGAGAACTCAACAAACTAGAGGTTGTCCTTGGGAAGGGGAACAATGCAGTAGCAGCGCCTGATGGGAGCGTTTGGAAGAAAAAATCGGTTTTCTGAAAACTACCTTACTGGCCATTTCTGAGTGTACGCCACTGTCTTGATCCCATACACATCACTAAAAACGTGTGCGCTAACACTCTTAACACCTTGATGGACACCGGGGGGACATCGAAGGATTCACTAGCCACACGCCTGGACATGCAACGCTTGGGAATCAGGAAGGAGCTACATCCCATGGAGCTAGAGAATGGCCAGTTCGAACTTTCGGTTGCGTCATGGACATTGAAGAAGGAAGAAAAGCGTGCACTTATTTCTTTCTTCAATGAACTCAAAGTCCCGAAGGGCTACTATGCGAACCCGAAGAGGCTAGTGAACATGAGAGAACTCAGGTTCAACTATGGCCCTATGAAGGCCCATGACTGTCATGTCATTATGACTCAGCTGCTCCCTATTGCCCTGCATGGTATCCTCCCCCAAAGGTCCGCGCCCCAATCATAAAGCTTTGCTCGTTCTTTAATGTGATCTAAAAAAAGGTCATTGATGTGTCCACGCTAGAGCAGCTGCAGCGGGACATAGCCGAAACTCTCGTTAGGCTTGAGATGCATTTTTTGCCGACTTACTTTGATATCTCATTGCATCTGCTTATTCATCTTGTTGACCAAATTAGATCCCTTGGCCCAATGTACCTGCATCAGATGTTCCCTTTCGAAAGATTAATGAAAGCTTTTAGGAGGCATGTTAGGAATAGATTTAGGCCAGAAAGGGGCATGGTTGAAGGATGGTCAACGAAGGAGGCCATTGAGTTTTGCACATATTATATGGACATCAAAAGGGTCGGAGTTCTAGAATCTCATCACAAGGGAAGACTACGTGGCAAAAGAACGATGGGGGAGAAATCTGTTACAGTAGACGACCCTGTTTCTTTCAGACAGGCACAGTTCACTGTTCTCCAGCAAGCCAAGGGTGTGATGCCATATATTGACGAGCACAGGCAATTGCTGCAAACTCTGTATCTGAGCAGGTCATAGGCTTGGCTGGATAAAAAACATAAGGAGGAATTTGTCAACTAGTTGCGACGTCGCTTGCTTGGAATAAAGTTGGGTAATCAACTGGATGCCTTAGCCAAGGGACCTTCGAGTACATCTCTTAAGTACCAAGGGTATGAGATCAATGTATTCATATTTTACACAAAAAAGCAAGATGGAAAGAGCACATACCAAAATTGTGGTGTTCGTTTTGATGCTCACGATGAAAACATCAACGTGCAGGCGACATACTATGGTTTCATAGAGGAGATATGAGAGCTAGCCTACAGTCCGTTGAAGGCAGCTCTTTTTTGCTGCTAGTGGGTCCGGCTCGAGGAAATCAACACTAACAGCGAAGGGTTCACTACCGTTGATCTCACTAAAACCACATACAGAGACGACCCCTTCGTCCTTGCAAGAGATGTTATGCAAGTCTTCTATGCAAGGGACAACAAGACAAAAGGAAGGCTAAAAGTAGTCCTAAAAGGGAAAAGGAAGATTGTCGGTGTCGATGGAGTGACGGACGAAGAAGACTACAAGAGCTATCAGGAAATGCCTCCATTCGGGGCGAACGTACCCCTACCTATCCTTCAAGAGGGTGACGAACCTGCTTACATACGGCTTGATCACAATGAGGCCATTATTGTTGATGCACCTAAAGATAGTTAGATTATTGTTAACTATATAATCATTATGTAGAAGTTGTATCAGCAATTCGTACTGAATATCTAATTTATATTTTGTGTGTATCTCTATAATTTAATTATTGATTATGTAATCAAATATTAAGATGATGTTCACAAACACTATTATTTAATAATTATAGATCATTAATTAATTATCATAGAATTAAATAACCAAGACACAAATTTTTGTGTTATTTTAAAATATAAACTAACTGCATTATTTCTATTAATAAAGAAAGAAAGAAAAGCAAACTAACCAAACTCCCTATCCTAGCTCAGCGGTTAAGACCGCGCACTCTGTACTCTGAGACCCGCGCTCGAATCCCAGGTGAGCCAAACTTTTTTGATTTTGCATTTATTATTTATTAGTAATGCATTACGAAGGGATAAAAGAAAAAAATAAAACCAATCTAACCGAACTCCCTATCCTAGCTCAGCGGTTAAGGCCGCGCACTCTCGACCCCGCGACCCGCGCTCGAATCTCAGGCGCGCCAAACTTTTTTGATTTTTCATTTATTTATTATGTAGTAGTAGTGCGTTACGACAAGATAAAAGAAAAAGAACAACTAATTCTAACGTAATCCCTATTCTAGCATAGTGGTTAAGGCTCCAAACAAAGAACCCTAAGACCTGGGTTCGAATCCTAGGCTCGGGAATTTTTTTTATATTTTTTATAAAAAGGCTGTGATGGCAGGCTCCAAACCGACAGTGATTTTTTTGTATTTTTTTACTAAAAGGCTACGATGGCGGCAGGGTCCTTCACTGTCGGTTTTAGTTTTAAAACCGGCAGTGATAGCTTCTATCACAGTCGGTTGCTCCAACCGACACAGAAGGCTCCATTCACTGTCGGTTTTTAAACTAAAACCGACAGTGATGTGTAGATGCTCCTCACATGCCAACAGTGCTCCTACTAACCACAATAGTAGGAACACTGCTCCCACCTACTCGATAACTTTAGTTCAGAAACAAAAATGTACCACGACTGCTAGCCCCTATAAAATGGCCCTCGGCCAGGAGCTAGCCTCTCCATGCATGTTGGTTCAGCTAGGCCTTATCAGCCATGATACAATGTTTTTCTCTCACAACAAACCACAGATATCGTTATGCGTCGTAGTCCACTAAAATGGTGCACACAAGAGGTACTAGAAGAATGCTACTGAAGATAGAGCAACGCCGAATATTAGAGATGTCACGAGGTTCACAGAGCCATCTGCTGCGGTGCGCATCTAGAAAAAGGCCAAGTACAGACAAGGCGGATTCATCGATGCCACCTTGTCATCTCCAACCGGTATAGCTCATAGACCACCTCGGTGCTGCTATTTCACCCTAGTTGGTGCTAGAAGAATGCTACTGAGGTGGTTATATTATAATGTGTTGATACACATTGATTGTAACATTGACTTGTACGCAAATAGGTCTTTGTTATCATATATGAAATTTTAGTGTAAGGTCTTTGTTATCGTATATGTAATTTATTTCTAATATTTTTTTTATTTTTTGATGTATTTCATTACTATCTAAATAAATATATCATTGTTGTTAAAACTTTCCCACTGTACTATCTAAATAAATATATCATTTACATATATGCACCTTCACTGTCGGTTCTACTTATAAATCGGCAGTGATAATAACTTGGGAGAATTGGTTCTTTAGCATCAAAAGATCACAAGAATTGGAAAATACCACTGAAAAAGCTCCGTCACGTGAAATACCATCGAAAGATGTAAGCGTTAACCGAAATTAGCATTTCGTCACGTTCAGTCAATTTTGGGGTAACGGTCGTCATCTCCACCCGCATGAGCATGCGCTGTGATGCGCCCTTCTTCCTCCTCCGTCCATTTGCTGCCCCATGCTCTCCAGCTGTGAGCAGTGTCACCTCACCACGCTGCCGTCCGCACGCCCGCAAGCATCGTGCCGCACCGCTATCCACATGTCGTCCGCGAGGAGCTGGAGGTCGCCGGAGTCGAGGAACCACGTGGTATGCTGCACGCGCTACTCGCTCCTGCTCCTCCAACCCCATCCCTCCTTCCCCGAGTCTCCAGTGCCTTCTTGAAGAAGGCCGCCCTCACGCACACGTCCGCCAGTGCCCCCAGCAGCTCCTTGTCAGCCTCCTCCAGGCACCGCTCCTTCACCTCGTTCCAGAGCACCAGCACCTCCCCTGGCTTGCGCGCCATCATGATGCCCTTCGCCAGGCTGCCGTACGTCGCCACGTCCGGCTGCACGCCGCGTTCCTTCATCCTCTCTACCACCTGCTTCGCCGTCTCCACCAGCCCTGTCCACCGTCACCCTGGGGTCCCGCTCCATCTCCTCGAACACCTTGTGCGCCACCTTGGGCTGCCCCAACACAGTGAACGCCTTCATCAGCGTCATGTAGCTCACCGTGGACGGCGCGATGCCCCGTGACCACATCTCGTTGAAGAAGGCTAGGGCGCCCGTGCTGTCGTCGCTGAGCACGCACCCGTCCATGAGGGTGTTGTATGTCACCATGCCGGGCTGGATGCCGGCATCCGTCACCGTCTCCTCAAAGAGCTCCCTGGCCTTGCCGATCTGCAGCTGCTGGCAGTACCCCTTGAGCTGGACGTTGTAGGTGACACGGTTGGCTGGAACTCCGGCCGCGGCCATCTCGCCCAGCACGGCATGCGCACGCGCCACATCGCCCGCACCGACAAGCGCTCATATCACCGTCGTGTAAGTCACATGGTCTGGCCGGCTTGCGGGTACCGTCAGCGCCTCTTGCCGCATCGCGCGCAGCGCTGCGTTGAATGCGACCGCGTTGGGGAGGCAAGAGGGGTAGATGAGCTCTGGTGGCGTGCGATGGAGGTGGCGAAGGACGGCGTCGAAGAGGTGGAGCGCCTTGGTGGGCGGCGTGAGGTGGGCGACGGCGGTGGTGTACGCGCATCGGTCGGGGAGGAGGCCCTGACAGAGCATGTAGAGGAGGAGGGAGTGGGCGAGGCGGGCATCACGGGAGCGGACGGCAGCCGCGGCCGTGAAGGAGAGGGAGTTGGTGTCGAGGAAGTCAAGGGTGCCGTGGGCGCGGAGGCTCTAGAGGAGGCGGGCGGCGCGGGAGAACGTATCGGGGCCGTTGGAATTGAAGGAGAGCTGCGCGAGGAGGAGAGAGGCCATGGTGGGGGAGGAAGGGAGGGCAGAAGGATTCGAGGAGAAGAGGCTGTAGGCGGCATCGGTGTCATGGGCGCGGAGGAGTGCCAGGAGGGCGTCATCGGAGGCGCCATCTTCGTCATGGTCAGGCACGTGGGTGAGTGGTGGGGTGGAACGGGAAGTAGCTGGGGACAGGGCGGCTGGCGGATGGAGCCTCTGGTGCTGGTTGCCGGAGGAGGAAGAAGGCGGGGAGCATGAGCATGAGCAAGAGTAGGTGGCGCCACCGGGGAAGGAGGGATGGGGTTGGAGGAGCTGGAGCGAGTAGCGCGTGCAACATAGCATCACTGGAGTACCACGTGGTTCCTTGACTCCGGCGACCTCCAGCTCCTCGCGGACGACATGTGGATGGTGGTGCGGCACGGTGCTTGCTGGCATGCGGACGGTGGCGCGGTGAGGCGACACTGCTCACATCTGGTGAGCATGGGCAGCAAATGGACGGAGGAGGAAGAAGGGCGCATCACAGCGCATGCTCATGCGGGTGGAGATGACGACCGTTACCCCAAAATTGACTGAACGTGACGAAATGCTAATTTCGGTTAACGCTTACATCTTTCGATGGTATTTCACGTGACGGAGCTTTTTTAGTGGTATTTTCCGATTCTTGTGATCTTTTGATGCTACAGAACCAATTCTCCCTAATAACTTTCACTGCCGGTTCTACTTAAAAATCGACAGTGATGTCCATGCCCCCTATATAAAATAAACCACCACGCACATACATCGATCCCACCCACCCACGAACTCTCACAGTCTCATTTCTCACGTTTCACTCTCACTTCTCAAGAAATCCACTCTCTCTACGTGATTTGGTCATGGCTCCTGCATTTTTCAATGGTATTGATATGTTGTCTTCTCCAATATTCTATCTACATTCATTTGATCTATATTTATATTCATGTTTGTTTGCATTCTACATTTATATATATTCTTATTCCTTGCCTTCGATCTATATTTAATTATGTTGCCACATTTTACTTGGAAGAAATTTTTGTGCATATATTTTATGTTCATATTTTTTTGGCATTTTATCAATCTGGTGGTATGAACAATGGACCTCCCCCACCACAAGAACTAGGTTTCCACCCTAGCGATGAGCCATTCGCTCCTAATGTGGCCATTCCACGGTTCCCTGTTCTAGCTATTGTATGAAATATTTTCCAACATCTTTTGTTTTTTGATGCTAACAAATAAGTGAATTAGTTTAATATCATTGTTGCATACATATATGTCATAGACTATATCCCTAATAGATTGGTTGCGAACAACACTTAGCTGGTTCTTTATCTCGGACATCGTCGAGAACACGGCATCTAATGCAAGTGGTCGGCTATGGACATGTGAACTCAGTTTTTCTATCCCTTTGAGGGGTGCAAATCATCGAAACCATATCCATGAGATGGGAAGACAGAGCCCGGACGTAATAAGTGCCCAATTCAGTGCCATGCGCATCTGTTTAGAGGCACTTCGATGTGTTTGCTATGATGTGCCTAATTTCTCGCACTTCAAGGCACTTGCTTTGAATGCTGGTGATATCCGCATCCTGCAAGCAAGCGAATGGTTTGTGAGCTACAACCGTGTGGATGTGGTAAAATGGTCACTTATACCAGAGTCGTGGTTATTTGTTGTTTATTATTGTAATAATATTCTCTAATTTTTTTCTTTTTCTCCGCATGCAGATTGCGCTCTAGGACCTTACCTATGCTGCATGTGGCTTGTGGGCCGTTCTAGACCAAGCTACGGAGCAACTCGGGTATGATTGGGACTTCTGCAATGGAAACCTCGGCTAGCTCACTATAGAAGGACGCCAGTACTGCATAAGGATTACTAACAGGGGCAGTGGTCATTTAGTAGGTTACATCGATGGCCGACCATTCTTTTGGTATTATGAGGCACGAGAGAGTGCACTCATACGGGCATTGATCTTCATTGATACAAGCAGATACATAATATGTAACATCAATTATCATATATGGCTACAGAGGCATGTTAGTGTGCGTGGCCCGATCGAACCCGACAGTGATTCCGATAGTAATTAATGTTTATTTAGCTAGGTTTTCAAGGTCGTAGTTTAATTGGGTTCTAATTTTAATTTGTACGGCTTTGTGTGTTTAATTATTGTCATGCATGTAATTCGTGTAACATTTGTTGGGCAACTAAAAATATATATTTCGGTGTTGTATTGGTCTCAAAATTATTCTTAGGCTTGCACGTGACACAGGTGAAGGAAACACCAAGTTTGGGATTTTCCGGAGATGGTTTGCTCTTATGTGTATAGCCATGATCGAATTCTGCCAGTCGACAGGGGGGTTCCTATATCTGTTTGCTGAGTGAATCTAGCAGCCCTAACTTGTTAGATGAACCTTTGAAAGGCTTCATAGTGAACCCTGCCAACCTTCCTTGGTAGTGGGTCAAGGGGCTGATCACCTCGGACAAAAAGGTAAATCACGACTCACAGTGAAAGTGTACAACCTCTGCAGAGTGTAAAACTGGTATGTCAGTCGTGCTCACGGTCACGAGCGGCCTTGGAACATTTACGGAATAGATGATGAACACTAATGATACTAATAATAAAGATTCTCACTAATGATTAGTGTTTATGCTATTCATTATCCATGTTTACCTGATCATGTGTTTATGGGCTTGTGATAAACTTGTTGCCACCCAATTACTAAAAGATGACTCATTAAAAGCCAACCGTAGTTAAACCAGTGTCAGCCTTTTGAGCCTCATGAACCTCATGTTATATTTGTTCAGTACGACATGTACTTATGCTTGCTTTACTTTTTAAATCTTTGGAAAAATCCCGGATGGGTACCAGATTGCTAGAGTTTGGAGGAATTAGGCTTGTGATGAACCAGTCAGTTGTCCCTATGGATTTGGAGTCTTTGCCTGAAGATCGGAGTTGTCTTTCCACTGTCTATACTCTGAGGTTATAATCTTTATACTAATACACTATGTATTTAAGCATTGTCTTTTGGTATTACCCTTATTTGTAGCTATATATGAGATTTGACTTTCTGGGCTCACATATGGTGTGTATCTGGTTTTGTACTTAAAACCGGGTGCTACACGAAGCCCAGCCGGCCAATAACTGTAGTTAAGTATAAAAGCAGTACTTATGGTTTTCGTCCCTCACTTCTCTCCCCCCTCATGCAGCTGCGCTGAAGCCAAGTGGTGGCGTCTCCATCATGCGCTCGCATCATCTGCCTCCGCCTCCATCCCTCCATCCACTCTCTCTCTCCCTCGCACTTAGGGTTTCTCACGGCGGCAACGGCGTCTTCCCCACCGCTGGATTCAGCGGCGGCGGGCTCCCTCTCCTCTCCCACGGTGGGATCCAGTGGCGGCAAGCTCCCTCTCCTCTCCCACGACATGATCTGGCGGCGGCGGGCTCCCTCCCCTCTCCCACCACGGGATCCGGCGACGGTAGGCTCCCTCCTCTCTCCCATGATGGGATCCGGCGATGGTAGGCTCCCTCCCCTCTCCCACGGTAGGATCTGGCGATGGTGGGCTCCCTCCCCTCTCACACGGCAGGATCCGGCGGCGGCGGGCTCCCTTCCCTCTCCCATGGCTGGATCAAGCGGTAGCAGGCTCCCTCCTGTCTCCCACAGCAGCATCCATCTATGGCGGGCTCCCTCCCCTCTCCCACGGTGGGATTCGGGGGCGGCAGGCTCCCTCCCCTCTCCCACGGCTGGATCCGATGGCGGCGGGCTCCCTTTTCTCTCCCACGGCGGGATCGGCGGTTGCGGGCTCCCTCCCCTCTCCCACTATGGGATCCGGTGGCGGCTGGCTCCCTCCCCACTCCCACGGCTAAATCCAATGGCGGCCGGCTCCTTTCCATCTCCCACGGTGGGATCCAGCGGCGGCGGGCTCCCTTCCCTCTCCCACGGCGACAGCGGACGGGTCGAGCTCCTCCGGTGCAGATCGAGCTCCCCCATGGCGGATCGAGTTCCCCTAGCGGCCGTGCATCCGGATCGAGCTCCCATGCGGCGACGGTGGTGCGCAGCCCAAATCCAGGCCCATGCCCGATTCAGGCTGCGGGCTTTTCTTTTTTTGTTTTTGAAATTTATTTTCATAGGCGGGCATTTGGCCGCCTACGTTAATCCGCATTAACCGAGATGTTTCAACGGAAGCGGACGGTTTGCCCGCCTTGGATAAGAATACTGGAGTAGTGACCACAACAAACTGACACAATACCAAAAACCCAAAAACGGTACTCTCCATCTCTATCACGAAGAGGCAGGAGCCCAACTTGAAACCCTCAAAACAAGAAGTGACTAGAGAGTTGAGAAAAGTCCCTTGGAACAGCAGCAAGCCAAGCAACAGACAGCATGCACAACGGATCAACGAAACTCCCCAAAAACAAAAAGAATAGCTGCTGCTCTTTAACAAACCGGCTTGGGCTGAATTCCCACTGGGCTTGGCGGATCACAGGCTCTGGGATAGCAGACCACCGCGTTGGGCGAACT